GTTGACCAAGTTGGGATTCTAATCTAGCTATAGCTTGAGTGTTGGAGTTGAGCATTTGTCCGGTTGATTGCATGAAGGAATTCAACGTGCTAGATGTTTGAGTCAACATATTCGTGGTTTGAGTAGAGGCCTTAATTATGGTTTCTAAACCCCTTTCCAAGACATTGAGACGTTTATCCTGATCTGGATTGTGAGGAGTCTGAATTACAGCTTGATGAAGAGGAGACTGATTTTGATACGGCAGATTGGGTTGTTGAAATTGTGAATGAGAATTGAATGGAACTGTGTTTCCCCTAGGAAAATGTTGGGTCGAAGCGGGAGTGAAATTTTGAGTTCCGGGAGAATTTCCTAGATTCCATGCAAAGTTGGGATGATTTCTCCAACCTGGATTGTAGGTTGGAGAAAATGGATCATTTCTAGGGTGCTGGAATGCAGCGTTCATCTGTTCTAATGAATGATTGTTTCCTAAGAGAGGGCATTCCTCTGAAACGTGGGTAGGAGACTGACAATTATGACATCCTGGGAAAGAAACATGATTGAGTTGAGCTGGAGCTCGTTCCTTAATTTCTAAGGCTTCTAACCTCCGCAGAATTGTCGCCATCTTCGCTTCAGAAGCAATGTTTGACTAACTGATGAAACCCTATCATCGCACTGTTCCCATTGCATTGTTTTTTCAGAAAGACTCTCCAAAAACTCCCAAGCTTCATCAGCATTTTTCCTCATAAAATCCCCGTGGCACATTGATTCTAAAGAAGTTTTTGCAGAATAATCTAATCCCTCATAAATTATTTGGCACAATCGCCATTTCTCTAAACCGTGATGAGGACATTGGATGAGAAGATCTTTAAATCGGTCAAAATACTTCCAAAAAGGTTCTCCCGGGATAATTTTAAAGTTTTGAATGCTGTTCCTAAGCTTTACCGTTTTATGAATAGGAAAAAATTTCTTAAGAAAAACGGTAATAAATTCATCCCAAGTTGAGATGGAATTTGTTGGTAAGCTGTACAGCCATTTTTTAGCTTTATCCTTAAGAGCAAATGGAATAAATCTAAGCTTAACCGCATCTTCATTTAATTCTCTCATTTTAATCATAATACACACTTCCTCAAATTCCGAAATAAAAATATATGCGTCTTCTGTTTCATTACCAAGGAATTTGGGAAGCATGTTTATGTATTGCGGTCTAAGCTCAAAATTTATTCCATTTGTTTCGGGGAGCCTAATGCACGAGGGGATTGAATTCCTAATAGGATAGCACATATCATGAAGAACGGGTGGATTAGGATGCTCCATTTCTATGATTGGTTCAAAACGAATTAATCGACGTGTATTATCTCTAATCCAAGTTTGCATACACCAAAATATTTCTTTTTATTTTTATTTTTTATTTTAAGAAAAAAAAATTAGTTTTTTTTTGAGAAGAAAAAGAAAAAGAAAAATCCTAACTAAAACAAATCAAAGCAATCACTTTTCAATCACTCTAATTCTAGGGTTTAGCCTAATTCACTAGACCAGCTCCTAACCAAAAACTCCTACAGTGAAAAGATCAAAGTTTTACCCAGGTAGTTAGCCAGGTAAGGATAGTACTAGAGGGTGATCAAAGATCAATTAAGTACCTCTTTCCTTGCGGAGCGCTTTACGCAACCCCTAAACCTTGCCTTAGGACACCAACTATTCTGAGAAAACTTAAACCGTTCACTTAAGGATTTCTTGTTCCTTATTGAGCTCGAATCCTTAGGGGCCAACGTCTAATGAGTTTTATTAGGCTTGGGCAGTGTAGTGAGGAATTAGTGATTTTTGGGCTAAGGAAAGGGTGATGAAATCCCTCACCTTATCTTGATTATGGGGTTTTGCCCTTAAAAATATTTTTAAGTGTGTGTCAAATCAAGATGCTCAAATCACTTGGTGAATTCCTACACTATATGAAATGCAACCCTATGAATTAAAAGCAACTAAAAAGGATGGAAAAGAAAAATCTTTTTTTTAATTAGGGTTAACAATCAAACAAATGAGAAGGGGTTAACAATCAAACAAATGAGAAGGGGGGAATTTGTTTGAATTTATTATCTTGTTAGTAAATGTCAAAGTGGAGGATGAATTTTATTATGGTCAACAAAAAATAAAATCTCTTTTTTTTAAAGTCCTAAGATGAAGGATTCAAAAGAGGTAAGAAATCTAGAATATAATCCACTAACCAATTTCAATTACAAAATATAAACTATTCTCTTTTTATCATATTTCAACTTAGATTTATTAAGCATAGATTATCAAACCATTTAAGGAAAGTGTAACCTATCAAATTATCATCTAAGTTAAAATTACTATTCATGATAAGAACAACAACATGATAATAATCCTAGAATTCATAAGCATAACCTATCAAACCATTTAAGATAAGCATAGATTATCAAATTCTTCTTCTACCGATTAGTTCTCTAGTTGATTATCCTAACATGAACATTTTAAGTACAAGAGAATAATTCATACAATATAAAAGAAATTAGACTAGTTTCATACAATTCTAAGATTCCTACAAGAATTAAATTCACATCTTAAGAAATAAAAACAAGAAAAAGAAGACTAATTACAAAATTAAAAAGAAAAGAAAAATCTAAACTATGAACAAGAAATAAATCTAATTACAAAGAAAATAAAAATCTAAACTACAAAATAAATTGCAGAAATTAAATGCAAGAAAAATAAATCTACTCTACAAATTAAAGTGCAAAAAGAAAATAAAAAAGACAAGAAAGTAAATCTATACTACAAGCATGAATTTAAATCTAACTAATAAGCAATAATAAAGAAATTACTAAAAAGAAATAAAAGAGAAAAGAAATGCAAACCTTCAAATTGCTCTTCATCTCCATCCTCATCATTCAACAAGAGGAGAAAGAACAAATTTAAAGAGGAAAAAATTATTTTTATTAATTGCAACTAAAGTTACAATTTTTGGAAGGCCTTCTCAATTAAGAGTAGCCCTCCTCTCCAAAAGGAGTTACAAAAATTTTCACACCTCTAACCCCTCACTCTCTACCCCTATTTATAGTAATCTTCAATGAATATGAGCCATTGGATTTGTCTTGAGTCCCAAGAAACAATCTCTACCTTTGAATTTGCTTTTTGTTCTTCTCTAGCCCAAATATAGGAAGCCCATATGATTTAGTTGATTTTCAAAATCCAATTCTGCAGCAACGGTCATGGATAGTAAATTGTTTGATGGGCTTTGGGTTTTCAATACATTCTTTGCAGCCATCAACTTTGGTCCAAGTCCAATTCATATGATTTTCAACTCCTCTCCAGCATCTATCAAGTCCGGCCCAATGACATCTTCATTTGATTTTCGGTAGTAAAGTTGGCCCAGGTCACATGCAGCAAAGAAATAAGACCACTTGTGTTAAAATCCAAAACATAAAATGATTTTTCTTCAAATCCATATCTCCAGCCAATCAAGTCCGGTCATGAGCCAGTCTGTCCATGCATACAATGATTTTTTTTCAAATCAAGTCCGGCCCATTTGCATTTGAGTCCTTGTGAAATTCAAAACTGCAGCAGTTCCACAATTCCCTTGGTGTAATCTTTTTGCTTTGGGCCTTCAAAAAGTCAAAAATTGCACTTAGGCTTCTTGAATCATTTCTTCATTTAATCCATGGGTTTTTGTTGAGAGATGGGAAGTTGAGATTTATTCTTTATTAATCTGCAATTAAAAGATAAAAACAATTATTAGTGGTATATTTATTGATATAAAATAGATAATGAGGGTATAAAATTGTAATAAAAATATGATTATCAATACCCGGAGAGCTGGGCAAGTAGAGTCCGAGCCGCAACAGGCTCCATAGTATCTGATCGACTTGGTAACATCGATTACAGAAGCAGAGACTAGCAACACTTAAGGAGTGAGTAGCAAGCCAGATTTCACTTTTTGAAGTTCCACCACCAATTGTATCAGCCCACCTACAGGAGCAGCTCGGGCGCGCCATTCCTGTCTCTTCGCCGGTGGCAGGAGACGGGTTAGCTCTCTCTCCAGGCTAGATTTTTTCTATTTTTTTTAATGAATTTTGAAACTCGGGATGCTCTAAGATGTAAGCATTTAGGGTTTTGTTGATCTTTTTATTTAGTTTGAGCGGAGGAGGAGGAACTTGTGGGTTATTAGGATTTACGATCTCTTTATCCGCACTTTTGCTGTAAGCATATATATAATAATGACCGGATTGTGGTTGAGCTCTGTCATGATGAACAGAAGTTTGATTTTTATTTTGTACATGAGGTAGGAATATATGGACTTTGTGTCTAACAATGATGGTTGGTATTGCGGGGTAGGGGGGAGATAAATTTGTAACTTTTTATGCAAATATTTATGTCGTGGTGTTAAAATATTCCTTCCGACATCTATCTTATTGGCTAGGTATCACTCCTTATCATATTGAAATAATTAACTGCCAAGCTTACATACCTACTAATATTCCATCACCAAGTATCGGGATCTGATGAAGTTAGAACCGAACAAACCGAACCAAACCGACTTGTAACGGTTCAGTTCGGTTTTGAATCGTAGGCGGTTCGGTTTGGTTGTTCAAATTTTAGTAAAAACCAAACCGAACCGACCAATGCTCACCTCTAGGTGTTACTAAATGAGCTATCAAAAGGAAAGCTATTTGTGAGGGCTATTTTTCTAATCACAGCCGATTTCATTAGTCTTTTTGATATATATTTTTTTAAAATAAGATGATAACTCATATATTACTTATTGTTGCTATTTATTGATAGCTTATTTAGTAAAATAATTGTTGCATACTAAATTTTTTTATTTCGTGTACATTATTTTGTATTTAAAAAAAAAACTACAGTATCCAAATTATCGGATCATTTTAAAGTATTTTTATCGGTCACACTTTTGAATTTTCAAGCGCTTAAATATTTCATCCCATCGCTATACAAGGATCTTGGGCTTGGGCCCTGAACTCCCTAAATTTAAAGGCGAACACCCAATCCACGCGTGTGTGCAAAATTTGAGCCACTATTTTTTCCCCCTTCGTTCTCCATTTTCTTCCGTGTTTACCTCCCCCTCCTCCCCCCTCGTTCTCCTCTCTCGAGAGATCCGAACCAGACGAAACCCTAGAATCTACATTAACAATCTCGAAGAAGAAGAAGAAGAAGAAGAAGAAGAAGAAACAGAGGCAAAGAGGATGCTGAGATTAGCAGGGAGAAGGCTTTCGTCTCCGTCATGGAGATCGGCTCCTGCATCCTCTTCCTCGTTCTTCGCGTCGAAGAATCCGGTGATCCATGGCGATCGATCTGAAGAGTCGAAGATTGACGTGGATTTTCCCATGAGGAGGTTGATTGATGCGGGGCTTATTGGATCCGCAAGAGGTTAGGGTTTCTCCTCGATTGATTAGTGTTAGATTTATTCCAGACGTGTTTTCTTGAAACTCTTTGTCTGGAGATTGGGATTGATTCAAAGTTGCATGGAATTTAAATGAACCGGATTAAAATGATAATTACATGGACAAAGCTTGAAACTTCATTCTACAAGGCATTATTTTTACATTGCTATGTATTTCTTTTCTTTTTTTTTAGTTTATAAATTTTCGTAGCTGTGGAATATTGTTTGGCCCTGTCAAGTACTGCTGTGCTTGGCTTTTATTAGATAAGCTATCCAAATTTATTTCACATCTTTTGAGATATGAAGGACCAATTATGCTTTTGTTTCCTGTTACAGATCCTTGCGGCCAAATTGGTTTTGTTCCACATATTCTGCATATGGCCTGTTAGATTTTGACTTGATTGGTGAAGTGATTTTTCAATTTACCGGTAGATTTTTTTAGTTTCAGCATATTGTATTTGTAGATATAGCTGCAACTAGATAGGATTTGGTGCTTAGTTGTTAGAACTGGAATCCTAGTCAAGCCCTACCTGATCTCTTGATGAGATGAATGCTGCTGGCTGCGATCATACCAACCCATGGGGATATTTGAATTGGGTTGGGTTGCCTCAGGTGTAAGAGAGGAAGAATCAGTTACCTCACTTGTCACAAAAATATGATAAATCCACACAAAAGCAAAAATCTAGCTGAACCTCTACTGATTTTCATCCAGAGACGTTTGAACTATGTTTCCTGGAAATCGGTACAGGTGCGGGTGCGGAAAATTTGTAAAATGTAGGGTATGGGACACACATAGAAATTGATAATTTGCATGAGATCCAACAATTTTCTTCATTCACATGTTAGAATTAAAATTTCTAAACATTTATGCTTCTTTTTGTTATGTGGATTATGAATTGGAGTAGCCGTTAGTTTTGAACTAGATATGAAAACAACCCTTTAAACATCTAGTACTAAACAGAGCATGGACTGAAACAAACACGACTGTTGTCCGACAAGTTCAAAAAAGTGGATGTGAATTGGCTGTTTTGCTGCTTCATGATAAAAGCATGTATTATAGAATTGAGTGCGTGTCTGAATAAAAGTAGGGATGTCCAAGTGGTGTCAGTGTCAGTGTTTTGCTGCTTCATGATAAAAGTGCCCATGCAACAAGTTTTTGTCTGATGGGGTTAGTATGTAGTTGATGGTACCTCCTTCTAAGAAGTCACACACTTCTACGATATGGTCATTTTTCATCAGTGCACGCTAGGGAGGAAGAAAAGGATGAAAGGCAAAAGCCATTCTAGTATAAACACTTCTCTTTGTTCAACTAATGTTATTTGAACCAGTGAGCCATCAGATAACAAGAATGGACAGATACTACTGGCAGTGGCAGTACACTAGCTTGTCAATTCCTAGAACTCTTCAGCTAATCTGAATTTTATTTTTTTCTGAATTATGCAATGTGAACATAAGCATACCTTAGTTCGAACAAAACCCATAAATTGGTAAGCCCCTCATGAATTTCAATTCATGCACGAGCCTCCGATAAGTGTATGCTCTATATTTTTACTATATTTACTTATCCCTCAAATTTTTATTTTATGTTAACCTTCCTTTTCTGAACTTTTTGCTTGTTATGTATTTGTCAAAGGACAACTTCTTGAATTAGATGCCCATACATATACACTTTTTCCTAGCAATTCTGCCATTGATTATGGGTGACTATTGTTAATTTCTTGCTCCCATTGATCTTGTGATGCTACTTTGTGCCTCTACCTTATTGCTAATTGCTAGCTTTTACATGTTAGTATTATGTGATACTTAACATTCATGGTACTGTTTTAAGTTTCTCTGTGCTGTTATTGCTATTAAGATATTGAACCCTTCTCACATTATTGTCCCTGACATGTTAATGCTGCGATTTACATAATATTTACATTTTTGGTACTGTTTTAAATTTTATGTGTTAATTGGATTTACTTGATATTTTCTCCACACACAATGTTACAGCAAAGTACCCACAATTGGACATCAATGGAAATTTCTTTAACATAGTATTGGAAAATACTTATGAAAATGTGGAGCTATATGAGAATTGAAAGTATAGGGCGATCGAAAAATTGAATCGGAAACTGAAAGTATTGGGGCACTTTTTTGCTGTTAATTACTTGGGAAGCTTGAATGGCTGAACCATCATTCTTATTTTGATGACACAAAAAGGAAAGTCATGTCCCCTGTTTAAGCCTGTGGAGGTAACCCCCTGAAACTTGTAGGTTATCACTTTTAGGCATATTACATGACCCTAAACTTTTAATTCAGAGGACACAGCCATAAATTGTGTGGAAATATTTGCCCTTAATGCACTTCTATGTGATTACATAGTCTTGTTCAGTTATATGCACACACAGTCTTGTTCAGTCATATACACACTAGTGTATTTCATTTATTTATATGTATGCCATGCATACTGTTGTATACCTGTTTCATAATCTGTCTTGTTAAACAATCAGACAGATTCCCTGATGAAAAAGGATTTGATGCACCTCTAACTAGCTTTTTCATAATCCCTTGCATATGTAGGGTTTGCTACTGATTCTCTGGCCCCAAGGCAGCAACAGGATCTAGGGTTACCCAACCTCCCAGCAACTGTGGCGGCTGTGAAGAACCCTACATCCAAAATTGTCTACGACGAGTACAACCACGAACGCTTCCCTCCTGGTGACCCCAGCAAGCGTGCCTTTGCCTACTTCGTACTCACTGGTGGAAGGTTCGTCTACGCCTCCCTCCTACGCCTCCTCGTTCTCAAGCTTGTGCTTAGCATGTCAGCTAGCAAGGACGTCCTTGCCCTTGCCTCCCTCGAGGTCGACCTCTCCAGCATTGAGCCGGGCTCCACAGTCACTGTCAAGTGGCGAGGGAAGCCTGTGTTCATCCGTCGCAGGACTGAGGATGATATCAAGCTTGCCAACAGTGTTGATGTTGCATCACTTAGAGACCCTCAGGAGGATGCAGTTCGCGTAAAGAATCCTGAATGGCTTGTGGTTGTTGGTGTATGTACACATTTGGGTTGTATTCCCCTGCCCAATGCCGGAGATTTTGGAGGATGGTTCTGCCCGTGCCATGGATCGCATTATGATGTTTCTGGAAGGATCCGGAAGGGTCCAGCACCGTACAACCTGGAGGTACCAACTTACTCTTTCTTGGAGGAGAACAAGTTGCTCATCGGTTAAGTTTGAATCCTCAGGTTTATGAAGATAGTAGGTAGTTTTTAAAATTTTATACCTACCAGAGAGATTTCTGGGTCATTGAGACTGTATTGAAAATAATTTCATTGGACTTTGTTCAGTTATATTGGTTTTGGTATGTCTGTGTATTTTGGCACTCTGGAAGAGTTTTACACAGGGTATTCTATTTGTAATAAAGATGCTTTCTTAAAGAGGGTCAGAATTACGGATCAGTAGAGTATTTGAATCCTCACTATGAAGAACATGGTAAATAACCTCCTTTTTTTTAAAACCCAACCTCAATTTGATTTTGAATTAAATCTATTGAAGTTTGGTAATATTGTGTGTTTTGGCACTGAGGAAGGTGTTAGTCATGGTACATTCTATTTATAGTAAAGATGTTTTCTTAAAGACATACATCATACTGATGGTGGTTGGAAACAGGTTGGTACGTTCTCTGATGTGCATGTGCATCAGTTTACGGCCTCATTCTATGAGCATGTTTGGCTAATACTTATTTCTTGTGAGTCACTTATTAGTTATTTTTATTTATTTTATTAAAGGACAAAGTAGTCTTTTAACATTAATAAGTGCCAAAAAATAAGTTGAGAAATCCCAAAAAATAAGTGGATAAGTAAATTTTACCAAGCATGATTTTGAAACTTTTTAAGTAAAAACCTACTTATAAGTGAAAATAAGTAGGTTACCAACACTGTCTAAGAGCAGCTCCAACCGTTCCTATATCTTCATTTTGGAGCCGCTCTCACGTCCAACCGAACTGCAAATTTTGCAGTTAGCTGCAAAATCAGGCATTGAGGCTGTAAATTTGGAGATTTCTCTCCAAATTTGCAACCAACTCTATACTACTATTCCCCAAAAAGAATACAAAAGTTAACCCTCAATCTCTTTAACAACATTTTATTATTCCAATTGTATCCCGTTATTATTTTTTATACTTGTATCCCGTTATTATTTTTTATACTTACTTAAAATCTATATATATATATATATATATATATATATATATAAAGTTACATCACTTCATTGCCGTGTCTCTCCCACAAATGTTCAATTAATGCATTTCGAAGTGCGAAGTGTGCTTCTTTGTCTTTGAATTTCTTATGTCGGGTCAGGAATTGTCGGAACCGTTCGGCATCGTTCATCCCTATGTCTTCAACATTTGAAATTGATGGTGGAGTAGAAACGATAATATCTTCTTGCTCATCACTTTCATCCTCAATAATCATGTTGTGCATTATTATGCAAGTGGTCATGATATCATGCAAAGTTTTTCCTATTTGTCATGTAATTTTCAATTCATGTTTTTGCTTTCTATGTAATAGTCGTGGATTTAGTAATATGAATGTCTGTTTAATTTAATTTGAATGTCTATTTTATATTAATACATTTAATAATATTATTACTAATATTATTTATATTATATAACTTTTATTTTTTTATTATTTTTATATATTCAAAATGAGAGTAATATTAAATAATATTAATTATGATTACATTATATATTTTTAAAATAAGTAAAAGAATTAAAAAATTGAGAGAAATTGAAATGGAGTTGGAAATAGAGGAGTATGGTTGGAGTTACATAACTCTATTTTAGCATATTCTAAGAAATATACCAAAGTTTGGGATGCAAAATAGTGAAAAAGTTTGGGATGCAAAATAGAGTCCCACTTTAGAGCTGCTCTTAGTAGTAAAAAAAACCCTCAAAAACCCTCTGCAAAACCCGCGGGTGTCACTTTCTAGGGTTTTTTTTTTTATTATGTGGGGGGGATTGGTTGGTTTGGGTTGGGCTGGGGTAGGGGTGGGGGGTTAAGGTTGTGATATCAAGGGTTTTCCACTGTTTGTCGATAAACAAAAAGTTGAAATCAACAGCCCTAGAAAAAGACAGAACAAAGCAGGATCAATATCTAACAGTTGCATACGCCCCTTAGAGCAAAAGCTGAGGTCAGGCTTTACCTCTGCAGCGTCATCCCTAATCACCCTCGCAAGGCTAAGGTAATCCCACCCATTTGCTGGGGGTTTTGAGGGATGTATTTTCTAAATCTATAATGGATTATTCTTCTGATGATAGTGTATGATACTTTCATGTTCATATGAAAGTCCATTATATATATCATTTCATAAAATAGTTTATGATATTTTAACATAAACTCCCGATAGTCTATTGTTATATCCTAGAAATTACTAAGCCTAATGAAGCCTCAAGAAGCGGCCACGTGTAATAACTAGCAGACCGACTCACATATATCTGAGAGCATGACCCAATGCGGAGTTGGTCAATCTATCTCGCGACCAAAATCCAAGACGAAAGGCGTATTCGACTTAGGATTTGCTAGAAGCCCAAATCCGAGATGAAAGATGTTCCTCACTAGGATCGGACGTTGAACATCTTGTATAATGGAATGACCTGTCAACTTTGTCAAAAGTCACATCACGTTTAATGCATGACTAGTTAGAGTTCACACTTCGCTGCATAGTTGCCATCAACATTAATGCAATGTCGATCAGTATGACCTCTCGAGCCAGAGCCTTCAGAGCTCCTCGGACCAAGCCAATACTTCAGCAGCTTTATAACTGTTGCAATAGTGATTCGTCAACCAGTTGCTGATGCTCGTAAAGCATGGTCCGACCCATCACTACACAAACCCGACCAACTTACCAACGTGCCCCCGTAAATCCTCTATAAATATTGGTAACTTCCACCATACTAAGGTAGGCAATTTTACACACAAAAAGACAATAAGACTATACTTTATTTTTCTCTTCAGATTAATCAGATCAGTCACTAACTTGAGTGTCAGAGGGCATGCCGGAGGAAACAACCTATGGGGCCTCTAACCCTCTTATGCATGTGTAGGGAATTTACAATTCAAGATTTCCAACAGGACCAACCGCCATTCAAGGAGGTTAATGGACCCCAAGATCATCCTTACCTCTCCTAAATCACACATCAACATTCTGACATCAACAGTTTGGCGCTCACCGTGGAGCCTCTTCTTCTCTTTTCGAGAAAGTGGTTGATCTTCGGTTCTAAACCATGCAGAATCAATCTACTCTGACTACGTCATTCAGGCCTAGTTGGATCGATCCACTAAAAAAAGTCACTCAATCTCTTCGGCTGTGGATCGCTTCATTTACAAATAAGCTCTCCAGCCATACCTTTCTTTTCAATCTTCTTCGTTGCCTATCATCTCTATCTACAAAAGCGGAGGCTGGTGACAAAATCGAGAAGAGTGGACCAGGTAAACTATTCCCCAACCACCAGAGTTACATCCTGGAGGATGAAAATGGAAGAGTAGAGGACACCTCAAAGGAATGCTTCAGGGCGTTCAAAGTCCTTTGCGACCCCTTTACGGTCATCACTAACCCGCACAATGCGCATGAAGTCACAAATAGGTACGAGCCACCCAAATGAGCCTCTTTTTACTAATTTGTGCAAACTTGCAAAACAAACCACGAAACTTCCACGAAAGAGACCAGTCTAGGGTAGCACATGGAGTGAGAGCAGTCATTCCAGTAGAAGTTGTCATGCCCACTCTGCAACTACATTACTCCGATGAAGAAGTCTGCGGTTTCAAGTTGGCAAAATGAAGTTGACCCATCGACAAAGTAAGAAAGAAAATGCCACTAGCGCCACGGCTCAACATAACGACCGCCAAACCCTCGTCATGGCAAGCTCATTGTTAGCTCAAAGGAATTTTGCGCTATTATCAAAGAATCTCACCCGAGAATGTACGGGGCACAAAGCTAAGGGGAAAGGGTCTTAGAACATCCATAAAATATAAAGTGTTTCGGAAGAGATTTCTAGCAAATGTAACTATAAGACCTCTTTAATAGTAAAAAATGCTTTGCCTTTTTTACTAATTTGCATGCAGCCCTTACGAACTCAGCCATCACCAACTCACCAGAGGCATGTACCAAAGCACTTGATATCTTTTATGAGTAAACTCAAGGCATGAACTAAGACCTTGGTATCATTCTCATGAGTAAATACAAGACATGACTATAGGTGTCAAAAATTGCCTATAGATTATCATACGTAACTCAAGATAGAGAGAAGGTGATAAAAGTCATCATCTGAGTTACAGGGGATCATCCAAAGCTAAAGATCAATAAAAGAATACAGAAGAAGCACATCATACAAATTTCAAGGTGCAAAACATATCTCAGAAGCATAAGAGGAACTCATAATTTCTGAGACAGTTACAAGTGTCTCAGAAACTATGAGGAAGATTGCAGCTTTCGAGACACATACAACTATCTCGGAAGCATGAAGGGAACCCACAGTTTTCGAGACAGTTGTATCTGTCTCGGAAGCTATGAGGAAGACTATAGTTTCCGAGACACTTACAACTGTCTCAGAAGCTAAGGTGATACAGATGACGATTTTCTCAAGATTTGCGCATGACATGTGGCTCCATAACTGTCAGAAATTGTGTGGGAACATGGGGAAGATGTTACAAGCGGAAATTACGTCAATAACTGTCAAAATAATAGCATTAAAACGTGTTTAAAGTAGTTACAAAAGAACTAAAAATGAAGCATGCTTCCGAGACAGTTGTAACTATCTCAGAAATGGAAAACCAACCACGCTTCCGAGACAAGTACAACTGTCTTAGAAATGGAAGTCCCCTAACGTGACTTCTTTTCGACTTCTGACTTCAGTTATAGTTCCTAGGGGCTATAAATACCCCCTATGACCATCACTGACGGTGGCTGAGAATTTTTGGAGTAGATTAAGCAGAGAGACTTGAGCAATTTGGTGAAGTCCAAGCAAGAAAGAGAGAGTTTTCATCACGTGCAAGCCTTTTTTAGAGTTCTTGTAATTCCTTGAGATCTAAGCTTTGACTTGATCTTAAGAAGAGTGTTTATCTTACATCGATAAGATATTCACTTCCTTTTCTTACTTCTAAATGAAGCAAGAATTCCTAAATAACCTTTATGGTTCAATCTGAATCTGTGATTCGGTGGTCCACGGGCTAAAGCACCCCTGGCACAGGCAAAGATCCCACGCAAGCAGCGATCTAAAACGATCTTGCGTGTGTTTCTATGGAGCATTTGTAATTTGATTTTGTTGTAAAGAGTAGTTTCACAAAGCACGAAGCTCACTCTTTTGTTTTCATTGTAATCAATAAACAATTATAATAAATTCTACAACGAAACATGTTCCTGACGCAAATATACTGACGACCACAGTGGGAGCCAACGGTCT